GATCTATATATATATATAAGTGTTTTTGAATATTTGAAGTAATTGCAACAATTGTCAAATTATCAATTTTAGTTTTTCTTAAATATAATAAAAGAATAAACAAATTATTTATATTTTAATTTATTACATTAAAAATAAATATGTTAATAAAAAATCATGTTGACAATAATTATCTAGCTTGAATTTTGAAAGAAAAAAAACTAACAAAAAATTTATAAATGTTGGGCTATAGACAAAAAATCCCATGACTCGTATAGGGTCATGCTTGAGTATCACTTTGAAAGTTCGAATTGAATTCAAGCATCTTTGGTGTAGGCCATCGTAACTTGTGGCTCACATTGAGCTCGCCTACACTAGGTCAGATAATCCATTTTGCTAGCTCTAAGCTAAATAATGTGTCTACTTTCCATTTCTTTTAAAAATGAGGTGTGTAAGAATCAACTTCTATGTTTTAAACAAGAATGAGTATCTTGTGCAATAACTTTTTAGGGATCATTCTTTGATGAGAGCATTTTTAAAGATTCTTTTAACTTATTCAATTCAATTTTTTTATAAAATTAAATTAAAATTTAAAGTAAATTATCAATGATTAAAAATAATGTTATGGTGTAATATAAATTATTTATCTTGATTCTAAAATATATTTTATACACTTAAAAATATCTATTTATACAATTTTTAAATATAATTTATATATTTAAATATAATATATTATAAAATTTAGTTATATATAATAAATATATTACCTATACATATAAATTTTAGGCTTAATTGTGTTTTTTATCCCTAAAGTATTGTAATTGTGCAATTTTGATCCTTAAGGTTTTAATTGAGTAATTTTAGTCCTTAAAAGATTATAGTTGTGTAATTTTAGTCCCTCAATTTTTAATTGAATAATTTTAGTCCCTCAAATATCATAATTATGCAATTTTAGTCTTTCTTATTAAAAATTTAATAATTTTAATATATTAATATATATATAATGTTTTAAAACTATATAATTGTTTGTTTATTTAAATTAACGTATATTATTTTTTTTAATGTATCAAATGATATATATTTACTATTACTAAATAAATAAAATTTATATATTATTAGTATTTTAATATTACTGATAAATTAATATCAATAATATTTTTACCCTTTTTATAAATAAACTAATAATTTGATAAATATAACTTAATATATATTAATATACTTTTACAAAAATATAAATATATAAGATCAGATATATATTTCTAATTAATATACTTATATTTTTGTAAAAGTATATTAATATATAACAAGTTATATTTATCAAATTATTAGTTTATCTATAAATATATTAATAATATTATTGATATAATATCGAAAATTATAATATACGTTAATTTGAATAGATAAATAATT